GATTATGGCTTATTTGTGCTTGGCCAAATCATGGACCCCAAAGGCATTAGTCATACTGAAAACAGTTCAAAGTCCTTCTAATCATAACTTCTTTGGAGGAAATATGCTGTAGAGCATATCTTAAATAATTATCCAAAATTGATTTAAAAAGTAAAAGGAAACTGGAAAGAAAAAGATAGTAGGGTGATTCTGCAGTAATAGCAGTGAAGAGAAAAATAGTGGGAGATGAAAAAAAGCATGCTGGGGTAAGGGAGAAGCTCCTGGATGAGGAAATGCTGGAGGCAAGAGAGGTATGTGTGACAAAAATTATAGAGTGGACCCCAGCAATTGGAAGAGGGAGGTTTCCCAAAGGCCATCTTGCCTACCGCTCTGACAGAACAGCTGGACTTCACCCCCTCTACCACTTTTTCTGACATTTGTCATGTGCTGGAAAGTATCCTAGCTGTTCTTTTCAGGAAGATTTTTTTTTTTTTTTGCTCAGTTTAGAAGACAATCTTCCATAATTTTCTCTCATGCTCTAGGTCTGCATGACAAGCAGAAGTCCAACTCTGCTCCGAGACATGAAAAAGGACCGCCATGAAGATTGTGCATGCTTCCTCTTGGTCTTCCTTGCTGTTCTGTGTGTTTTGAGGGCCACTGTTGAGGGGTCATTTTTCAAGCTGGCAACTTTAAAACTAGTTTGGAATTCTTGGGGTTGAAATCTACATGCCTTAAGTTTCTGAGTTTGTAAAATGCTGCTATAAAGTCTCTGATAGCATCCCTTGATCTCCATGTCTTAAGTACATATGTTTGAAATAAATGCATGTTCATTCCAAATTTACTTGTACCATCATTTCATTTTCTTGTGTCTCATTCTTAGAATTACAACTTCCAGAAAACTCAGCCAGCTTGGCTAAAATGAAAGTTTGAATAGTAGTACATTTTCTAATACCATTATTTGGAAATACAGTGCAAACAGAAGAGAATAATATGCCTTGTAAACCAAAGTAACTACTGGCACATGTTATACTGGCATTCCTGCTGAATGAGGTACAAGCATTTTTTTCCACAAGGTACAAAGAACTCTGTGAACTCAGTTACTGGTAAACTTCAGCCCAATAGGCAAAAGCTGATCTACTGTGGTTTGTGGCAAAGTGCCCAGATAAAGTAAAAGTTGTGTAGGACTCATTAAGAGCAAACTTTTTCTCAGCCCAGGCCTCAAAATGATCTGCTGTGAGACTAGAAACCTTTGTTTACTAAACAAGACATGCAATAATAGAAGGTGTAAATTAGCACAGGACTTAAACAATGTCTTCACCCAGATATAATAAAATGAAAAGTACAACTGGCCCAGGTCTTCAAAACTGGGCCAGTTGTAGTTTTCATTTTATTATATACCAGAGTTCATCATGTTATGCTAGTACTATGTGAGCAGAGCTGGCTCCCAGTTTCTTTCCAGGTGCAATTCAAAGTACTGGTTGTCATCTTTAAAGTCAGATAAAGTGGGTGCACTTCAAGTCATTCCTTAAATTATTTCTGGAAGAATCTTGGAAGCTCACCTCTGAAGCTGCTCCTGCCCACTGGAATACACTATCCTGAAGATCTGGCAGGCCCCCATCCTCCTTACCTTCCAAAAGTCCATAAAGGACTGGCTCTTCCTGCAAGCATTGGGCAAAGATGTTCGTGTATGGGAAGTTTTGTTTGGGGGCACCAGAGATTGTTTCAGATCGGGGTTTATAGATATTTCATGTGTTATTATGTCCTTGTAAATCACCCAAGATGTACATAAAATGAGTGGCCATATAATTTTTTTAGATTATTTTTTTAGATTTAGTTATTCTGTTGATTCATTTGAGAGCTATCCCTGTTTCCCTGAAAATAAGACCTATCCTGAAAATAAGCATGTTTTACATGTGTGCCTAATATAAGCCCTACCCCTCAAAATAAGCCCTAGCCTGTGCAGCTGGCCACCCACCCATTCCATCTGGTTCTCATGGTGCCACGATGGTGGTGGAGCTGCCCCACATGCCCAGCATTGGATTATCTCAGGGTCCCCACAGCCAGTCCATCCATGCCCTGATACTTGCTTCATGGTGGCAGCACTGCCAGCATGTACAGCAGGCGCCCATATGGCTGCTGGCCCACTTCTGCTTGCTCGTGGCCGCAAAGGAGCAGGAGGCCAAGTGGTGTGCTGGAGCCACAGCCACGAGGTGAGGCAGGTGTTGGGGCATGGATGGCTTGGCTGTGGAGGGCCCTGAAATAAGCCAGTATGGGGCATGTGGGGCAGCTCCACCCCCCCCCCACCTCATGGTGGTGGTACTGGTACACCATGCAGCCTCCTGCCCTGCCATGAGCAAGCAGAAGAAGTGGGCCTCCCATAAGACAACCACTGAAAATATGCCCTAGTGCTTATTTTGGGGCCCAAAAGAAAATAAGACTCAGTCTTATTTTCAAGGAAACCCGGTATTAAAAGCAGTCAATTCCAAATTTTAAAAAGTAGTGGCATCACTGGAAAAATGAAGTGCTCTGTCATTTTGGCAGGAGCCTCTTTAAAAAAAACAGCCTTGTACCTGGTATTTTTTTGGCTAGACCCCCCAAAAATAGGCAATGTGATTTGGTTTTTTTAATCTTTTTCTCCCTTTGGCTCTAATTGTAGGGGGAGGAGAACAAAATTCTTACATAATTATCCCTCAATCCCTTGTCCAAAAGTTCTTCTTCCACTTATCCCATCCCCATAAAGCTGATTTTAAATATTGTCAAGATAGTTTCGTTATGCCTCAGGGGAAACTAGGTTACTTTTTCATTAAATTTGTTGTTCTGTGTTAAAGAAAATTATGATCCTACCCAAATTGATTAAGATCAAGAGTTTGAGGTGTTGGAAAGGGGAGTTATTACTAATTACTGTATATAGTAGTTACTATATACAGTAATTCTCCTTCTCAGTTTAACTTCTTCAGAGAGTGGTTATTGTAGAAATAAAATGAAGGAGAATTTCTGTGTAAGTTTCCTTAAGCTAAAAGTCCCAATGGGTAGTGCAACAAAACTAGAAATGCTTGAGTGTACAGATTTGTTTCTCCTTTTTTATTTTGTATGAAATGTCAATTAGTACCCTCACAGGTGTCACAGGTGTCAAACTCGCCACATCACATTGCTGTCACATAACATTTTTTCCATTCGCAGAGCTGGAGTGGGCATGGCTTATGCATGAGAGACATCTGGCCTATGGGCCTCCAGTTTGACATCCCTGTTCTAGATGATAAGATTTGTAGTACATGGTAATGAGACTGGCCCTCAAAGGAAGCCTTGTAATGTTTTGTCCTGGATTGCCGGATGAGCAAGACTTTTTCTAACAAAAGATGACACCAGCACCATTTGAAGATGTGCTGATGCTGCATTGACTTTGCAATAAACAAAATGTTACAGGAATTTTGTTCCAGCAACTATAATAATTCAGCGTACGGAACCTGTGTGGTAATGCCATCCACTGGTAACATCTGGAATTACATTTACTTCGTTCTTTACAATGCATATCAATTCGAAATGAACTTTGCAAAGGAAACCAGACTTTGGATCTGAATGTTTTTTAGGATAACAGATAACAGATAATCAGAGTTGGAAGGGGTCTTGTAGGTCATCTAGTCCAACCCCCCGCCCAAGCGGGAGACCCTACACCATTTCTGACAAATGGCAGTCCAATCCCTTCTTGAAGGTCTCAACTGAGGGCAAGCTGTTCCATTGGTTGATTGTTCTCCCTGTCAGAAAGTTTCTCCTTATTTCCAGGTTAAATCTCTCCTTGTTCAGTTTCCATCCATTATTCCTTGTTTGGCCTACAGGCGCTTTAGAAAATAGCTTGACCCCTTCCTCCCTGTGGCAGCCCCTCAAATATTGGAAGACTGCTATCAAGTCTCCCCTGGTCCTTCTCTTCACTAGACTAGCCATACCCAGTTCCTGGTAGACACTATTTGGTATTTGGAGAAGCTGCTATGGCTTCTCTTGCAAATTGGCTGCAGAAGAAGGCTAGCCCATTCACAAGCTGGCTGCCACAGGTATATAACTAGTTGCTTAACTACAATTTAGGGGGGAAAGATTATTTTGGAGGAGCAATACTGAATTTCAGGATTTAATGACCATGGTCTAAGTTTCCAGGCATTTCATCAGCAACCATGGCTGGCATCTTCAAAGGCAATCATAGACAACAAGCAACTGTTTGTCTACTATTGACCTCACCCCTTTCCTAAGAGGTCTGTAGGGAGCGTGCATAAGCGCACCAACGTGCCTACCCTCCCTGTCCTATTGTTTCTTTTTATTTTTCTTATATGTATCCATTTCATGTATTCATAACTATGTTTATACTTATACCTATTATCTTGTAAACGATTGACAAATCAAATAAATAAATAAAAACTGAATAGGGACTGACTGGGCTGCTGTCTTTAAAACCAAGTGACCTGAAAACAAGCCAAACTGGTTTGTTTTCGGTGCAAGCTGGTAAAGGCTAATCTCAGACTGGTTCTTTGTTTGTGCCCAATCCTAACCGGTAATTTTGGTGCTGTTGGATCCTGATTGTTCATGCTGGCTTCTGACTGTTCCTCTTGTTGTAGCAGACCAGCCACAGATGCCAGTAAAACATCAGGAAATTCTATTGTCAAGTCCACAGTCACAGAGAAGCAGGATAACTACATATTTTATTTGATAGCTCTATCTACTTGATAGGCCTGTCCACTTAATATACTGTATATTCTAGACCATATTATTCAGGTGGGAAAAATCTTAATGGGCCAGACAATATTGTGTATGACTTGGCAGAAATATTGTTTCTTATATGTCTAATAGAAATGCCAACTGCAGCATGAAGTATAGAGCTAAACCAAACCCTCTGATTTTACTAAACTGCTATGAGAACTGGCGATGTGGAACTAACAATGGATTACATACGGGCCATGAACCTCCACCACAATTAAACTTCATATCACTCCATCCACCCTCATTTGGAAAATCCAAAGAAACACAGAATCTGCATATTTGTTCTTGATGCTACTCATTTTGTTTTTCTTTAATGGAATACAGAGAAAGTATAGTCACCTATTCCAAGCTGTATTTCATGGAACAGGTTGAAATATTTTCTTGCTGAACAGAGCAGGCACTAAAGCCTCTGTAGCTACAGTCTGGGCTGCATTTCAGTCCGTAAGCGATGTCATCTCCTGAGCAAAGATCTGATCTGAGATGATGTCAGACAAAGCACCAGCTTTCTTTCTGCATTTCAAATGCCATCAACTCAGAATCGCCATCTTTTCTGTAGGGCAGAGATGGTACCGTACTGACAAATTGTGACAATAATCATTGTGTGGACATGTGCTAGCAAGAAGGCAAGTGTTCCTGTTGGCCTGATGGCATGAATCAGGATGTGGTGGCATGAATTGCAGTACAGGTAGTCCTAAACTTATGACCAATAGGTTTTGCCCAAAATCAAGCCCAAAATGTATATTGCTAAGCAAGACAGTTGTTGAGTGAGTTTTGCCTTGTTTTACAACTTTTTTTTGCTATGGTTGTTAAATGAATCACTGCAGTTGTTATGTTACTAACACAGTTGTTAAGTGAATCTGGCTTCCCCATTGCTTGTCAGAAGATTGCAAAAAGGGATCACATAACCCTGGGACACTGCAACTGTCATAAATACATGCCAGTTGCCAAGCATCTGAATTTTGATCACATGATCACAGGGATGCTACAACAGTCATAAGTGTAAAAAATGGTCATAAGTCACCTTTTTCAGTGTCGTTATAACTTCTAAATGAATGCAAGTCAAAGACTACCTGTAATAAAATCTTCCATGTTACTCAAAATTGCTGTGGGGCAGTAGATAATGCAGAAAAATGGTGAGACAAAGGAAGCACCAAGAAAAAAAAAAGTGATGCACTTAGGCTCTATGGAAGGGCTGTTCATTTTTCTGTAAAAGAAATATGACCTGAAATAGATAGAAAATGCAGAATAATAGTTAATTACATTACAGGACTCTAGGGAAAACATCTACAATAGCACATCTGGGCTAAAAAAAAACACCACATGCTGTCATAGTCAAACTATGACTATGGTAAATAAGGACTGAAGTTAAATAACAAAAATAAAAAAGATATCCATGGTTGAAATTAAGAGTTAGGAACCATGAGCAATATTCATAATATAGAGCGCTAGTTTCTGCAGTAGATCTAGCAATTCAATTTTCTACAAGCCTCTGTTATTGCTAGTTTTGTTGTGCTATGCTATAACTGTTACACCATAAAATACATGAATGCACATTAATTGAGACATCAGAATAAATAGCTGCAACCAGATTGTACAGCAATGCAGAAAGCAATGAACATGCAAGATGCATGCAATCTTTAAACATTTGAAACCAGCAAGGACCAGACAGTAGGAAAGCAGTCAGAAATTAACAAAAGGTATGTTTTTTTAATTACCCCATATGTAATGCTTCACTGTATCTTCCCAAGAATAAACTGACTTGTATTTTTATTATACCATTCCACCAAATCAGCTATTCACATTTAAGTCATTGGATAAATTAGAAAAGGTCAGCATTACAATCAGGCTTAAATTTGTAAAGTTACAACTTTCCCTTGTCCAAACCAATGAACAATTATTTAGCCTTGTAGTGAACACTAAGGAGCTTGCCAATAGATAGTTGTACTCTGCAAAAAAAGAAAGAGAAGATTTGCAAGGGCTGACTTCTCCATTTTGTATATCTCTAAGGAAAGGTGCATAGCAGTGAACTGCATTTCTAATTTTGCGATTAGAAATTACAGTAGATTATTTGGGGAAATGGCTAGAGTTAGGACTAGAAATAAAAAAAAATATTACTTTGCCCTATTAGATTTGGTTGAGATTTGGCTCATTGTTTCTAGCATTACATAAACAAGAGTACAACTTTATGCCCAAGACAAAGTAAATATTTCACAAAGTAAATATTTGTATGCTGTTGTCTCTGACATTTGGCCATTATGCCATAATTGGAATGCCCATAACTGAACTAGCAAGTCAAAGTTCTAATGGGTCATTCATGCTCAGATGGCATGATAGTATCCCTCTTATTTCTAAAGTTCTGAGATTATCATTCTTTTTAAATTAAGTACAAAACCACAATGCACCTAATAGAAAATCCAATATGAGATAAATAAATTAAAGTCTTCTTCAAGTAACTCTGATTCATAATGACTTCAGGGAAACATTCCTATAGTATTATTGGCATCAACAGAGAAGTAATTTGCCACTGTTTTTTGGGATGATTTGTTTTTTATTTTCAAGTCTGGCCTGTGTTAGTATTTCTTGGTGACTTCCCAAGTGTGATTCTGCTTAGATTTTTAAGGCCAACCAATCTCACTCAGTTGCTGCCTGGGCATAAAATATTTTGTCCAAAGAACTACTTCAGATAAGTAGATAAGGTTGATTAGTGCCTAATGTTTTATACTGAATTGGTCATTAAAGCAGTTGTATCCAAGATCTTGACATTGGAAATATTAATCAGGCACCATAACCCCTTTGAGTTTGGGATCTTTAACAATGCTGATAAAATATTTTAAAAGGAGGCCGTTGGGCAAAAAGGTATATACTTCTCATTGTCCGGTTGGTGATTTGGCAGCATCAAACATCTTCTTCCTGCCTTCCATTCCTGACATGGCCTCCACATTCTTACGCCAGTCACTAACTTCTACTGGGCGTTCCTGTGAAGGAAACCAAGAAGTTAATCCTTATTTGAGGAGGAACTTAAAACAAAGGGCTAATTTGTACAAGTACAGGTGAAGATATATACTCTGCATATGCCATATGAAGAGAAAGGTGGGGAATATATTATATGGGTCTCAGTAAGGTCATGTGGCTAAACATTTATAAACATAGCTAATATAGGAAGGTTCCATAAGGGTATATTGTACTGGCAAGTTTCCTGGCATACATTAGTATATGCAGAAAATAGAATCTAGACAGCTTAAGCACCAATAAACTCTTCAACAAGCACCCCACATTAAAATTGTTATTTTAAAAAAAGCAGTCTTTTTTAGGGAGAAAAGATGAATATACTAACCAAGATTTAAAGGAGAGAATCAAAGCATCTTCTAATTTAAATCTAAACTCTACTGTTTAATCACTGGAATATATGCCTGTGTCCAAGCTAGCTCTGTCTGAAATTTACCACATGCTAACATTTTTCAGATCTGAGCGACTGTGTAATAAAGAAAAAGGGCTAGATCATTAAACCTGTTATTTTCTTCATCAACAGCCTTGCAAACTGGCTGTGTGCATTTCCTTAGTATGAAATATTTTCTATTAATTGTTGATGTTGGAAAGGCATGGACAGATTCACATATACAGGTCTAAGCACTAACTTTTCATTCAAGGAAATAAGTATAATAAATAGAAACTATTGATCTCTGGTAGTTGCATTACTTTATTCATGACGGGCTGCTGAAAATGTTTTCTGTGTATTGAGTGACTAGTATCCCAGAATGGTATTTGCAAACTTTCATGTCATCACTTGCTCCTATGCGTAGCTCACAATGTTTGGTAAAACCTATCTGTAGGTCTGATTACTCTTTGTTTAATTCACTTGATAGCACAGTACAGTATTTCTTAATTTTTGGCTTGTTTGAATTTTTTATTATCATCTTTAAGAGTTATAGGTATTACAGTGGACCATATGCTTTTTTTTTATTTTTTTCATCAAGTACCAAATTCAGTTGTTTCTTATCTACAAATGTCCATTACAGGTAATCCTTGATTTATGACCATAGCTGGAATCAGAATTTCAATTGCTAAACAAGGTGATTGTTATGTGAGTCATGCCTGGCTTTACAACTTTTTTCATGGTCGTTAAATGAATCACTGCAGTTGTTAAATAAATTATGTAGCCATTAAGTGAATCTGGCTTCCTCCATTGACTTTGCTGGCTGACAAAGTTGCAAATGGTGATCATATGACTCAGGGATGCAGAATTATTGTAAATATATGCCACTTGCTAAGCACCCCAATTTTGATCACATAACTGTGGGGATGCTGTGATGGTCATAAGTGCAAGGATTGGTCAGTGCCATTGTAACTTTGAGTAGTCATTAAACAACTGGTTGTAAATTGAGGACTACTTGTAATACCAAGAAAATTCCAGTCTAGAAGATGCAATAAAATACAGTGTTTTTCTTCCATGCTGAAATCCTGGCTGCTATTAGCAGTGCGTAGAGAATTGCAAATCATATGGATAAACTTAACAATTTTACTTTAATGAGTGGGCTCTCCAACCATTTTCACAATCCTCATCCTTCATGGGAGAAGCTGTCTTAATTTTAGTTCCTGTTCTATAGCACATTCTATAATCCTCAATCTAAGAATGTTCATTTACAACCTATTAAAGGTAGGGAACATCTATTTATTTCTTTATGATTAAATTTATATGTCACCCATCTCGCTATCAGGAGGCTCTGTGGAAAAACATTAATCAAGCAAAAACCTAAGAACATGTTTCTTCACGGCGACATCAAAGAAACACAAATACACGGGACACTGGGAAGACATGATATACAATACAGCATGTGGGATTTCCAGCCACCAACCTTTTCTGTATCCTCTTTCTTGACAGACTTGAGGTTGGCTCTCAGGTCCATGGATACTTTGTGCTTCGAGCCAAGCAGAGCTCTAAGCATAGCATCTGCGGATACGCGGACACGGCGCAAGGGAGGACGCTTGAATTTTCCCCTAAGGTCAAGCACCTTCAATTTCAAGTCTTTAATCTGCAGAAGAGGCAATAGAGGTGGTCATATATCCTAAGAGGTCTCAGGAGAAAAAAAAGCTTTGCTCTTTCCCAGGAAAAAGGTAGTGCAAGTCCAGCCCGCTTGCTAAGTTACAAGAAGAAATGCTTTGAAAGGTTTCTTGCACTAAAAGGCATTCTGCATTCTGTGTTAGGCATGCTAGCTGCCTTGAGTTATTTATGAAAATAAAAAAAGGTAGAATATAAATAATATAAATAAATATTTGGTAGCCTCTGAAAAACTGCCACAGGAGCCTTGATTTATAAATCTCAGTTCCCTTGCTTTCAGTTTGCACACATTTTATTCATTCCACTGATAAAGGGAAAATTAGCATCTCTACTAAAGCAAGAAAACATATAAGGTTATACAGAACATTGGCCTGGAATAATAATCCAGTGCTTTTATGGAAGATCCTGGAGATGTTCAATGTTGCTATTTACAATTTAACACAAGGAAATGCTCCATTCTGGCTATCATATGCCAGCAGTCAGAAACAAAGGTCCAGAATCCAGTTTAGAAAAAAATGAATAAACTAATTCATGATCTTTAAGATTGCCATAAAGTTATTACCCAATCAGTATCGAACATTTTCTTATGGACAATGATATTTTACTGTTTTTTGTATTAATATATTCTTTTTATCTGAGAATTTAAATAAGAACTATTCTCCATCTTCTTACCTCCCGTGTGTTATGGTTACACTTTGCCTCAATGTCATATCTCTCTTCATCCACAATGTCTACCTTCTCATGAAGCTCCCTGCACAGATCCTGTGTAATTTAAAAGAGGAAAATGTTACAGGATATTTTCTCTAAGCCTCGGATCAGGTTATTTCTAACTGATATTTCACTGGGATCAGATACATTGGTTAGGTATTGTTCCAATACTAGGCATTGTCGGTCCCGATATTCTTTTGATCAGGACTTCAGAACTGAAAAGATCTTACATCAGCAGCATTTGATATCAGATATTTGTGGTAGCCATCCTCTTCAGTGACCTCAAAAGACTCCACGGATACTGTAGATATATTACATTCTTCATGGATGATCAAACTCTAAAAGTAACTTTACTCTTTGTGGCAATTTAGGACACATTTAATACATACATACATACATACATACATACATACATACATACATACATATATACATACATACATACAGTATTACAAAGCTGTGCAGAACCTACAGATTATATTCAGAAAGAAAAACGTAACATTGAAGTATTAAGCACCATTGTTTCTTACAACCTAAAAATAATGAAATGGTGGGAAAGCATGACATTTGGGAAAGTCATGAGAGCAAATCTGGTGGAAGCTACCCATAATCATCTGGGGGTTTACTTTAAATAAGACAGCCATCTGTGTGATTCAAGTTTAAAAATTTCTATTTCAGTTGTGGTATGTAAACATTTTAATAAATCAATCTAAATATGGAAATAATGCAGATGTCACAATAATATATATCCTCTTTTAACTCTTGCTTTAGTACTGCTATTGCATGATAGCACAGAAGTGGCTACACTATTTTGCCCTACTAATATGAGAATCTTGAGATTGTGGTGATGATAAATCTATCAAATGTTAGTCAAACATTCTTATTTATCTAATCTTCAAAGTGACATTTTTGGATAATTTTCTCCCAAATAGTTTTTTGATGCATCTGGGCCAATCACTCTCCTTGTGTTCAGCTGACCCCACAAGGTGGTTGTTGTGGGAAAAATTGGAGGAAGAAAGAGCATTATGTATGTTTGCCACCTTTATTTATATGTATAAATTTATAAAAATATAATAAAGGTAGGATTTTAAAAAACATTTAAAAACCCTGATGATATATGTATTATTCTACCTTCTGGGAAGGGAAAAGATGGCATTGAACTGGAGTTCCAAATTAAACTTTCTAATACAGCTCCTTAGAATTCTGTCTAACTCAACATGTCCACTTAGGCATCCACTCCATTCCCTAAACCAAGAATGTACCTGGAGTTGGGAGTAAGAAAGCCCACTAGTATGCAAAGATGTTATCCTTTCTGCCAAATATCTCTCCTTCTCTCCTTGTTTGTCCACTTGTTCTTGTTCCCATTCTTCTTTGGCTTTAGCCAGCATCAAACTCTAGAAAAAAAAATTAGAGAAACATTTGAAAGATAACTTTGTACCTTTTTCACTATGGATCTGAAATATCAGCTGGTTTATGAAGAACTCCTGTGTATAATGCACAAGGCAGAAGCCTTCATCCAGTTCTCCAACCTTCTGCCTCCAAATGAGCAGCAGATAAGGTTGTCCCAAATTTACATAGAATAATTTGTTCTGTACAGTTCCATGCAAGAGTATCTCGCTTTAATTAATGCATGATAACTTGCATCTTCATGACTCACCTTTAGAAGGAGTTTGCGTGAAGCTGAGATCTTGGGCTTCCTCTAAAGAACAAAAATAAATGAAATCAAGGGCACCATTTCAACAACACAGTGATAATCATATATTCATACAAGCAAATGTTAAGAAAAACAAATCCGGGAACTGTACTTACCTCTCTACAGAAATTCATTTGGGAGAAGGAAGAAAGAGGGGAAAAAGGTGGAAAGAACAGAATCAATATATGAAATGTAATACTCTATTCAAGATACTGAAAATATGAGTGAGTGAGAACATTTTATCAGGTTAAACTCCATAGTGATTCTGTCTGCCTTTTAAGGTAGACCAGACTTGAATTCCAAAGTTATGAATACTAAAACTATTTTTATTATAGGGTTAAGTAACAAATATGAATGTGCCTCCCATCCTCCCTTACTTTATGTCAGAGTCACGTGAATCATGAGATGGGTGACAAATAAATATAATTGATAAACAAAATATTAAATAGGACTGGGTGGAGTCAAATCTAGCATGCTTTCTCAAATTCCATTCCTGCTTTGGCTGAGGCTTTCCCTCCTGTCCTTTAAGATTATTCTTCCATCCTATTGCAGATCTGTATTGATCAGGATGGATTTCCTATCTGGTGTTGTCTTATTAGCTGTACTATTATGATGAACTGCAGTGGCGCAGTGGTTAGTGTGCAGTACTGCAAGTTACTTCTGCTGACTGCTGGCTGGTTGGCTGCAATTTGGCAGTTCGAATGTCACCAGGTTCAAGATTGGCTCAGCCTTCCATCCTTCCAAGGTGGGTAAAATGAGGACTCAGATTGTTGGGGGCAATATGCTGACTTTGTAAACTGCTTAGAGAGGGCTGTAAAGCACTGTGAAGGGGTATATAAGTCTAAGTGCTATTGCTATAGCTATTAGCCTTGTTAAAATCTCTCCTTAAAAATCATAAGCCTCTGTTACTAATAATCACAATGATCTCATTCTGCTACAGTTCTTTAACTTAGCCATCCTGAAACATGTGCTCTCCTCATGTCTTGAATTACAATTTTTGAAATCCAAGGCAAGATAGTCGATAATTCTACAGATCCAAAACATCTGGAGAGCAGCAGGATAACAAAGTTTGCCCTAACCTTCTAACCTAACCATGTAATCCAATTACATGGGCTAAGAAAAGAGGCTCCATTCAGACAATATCTTTTCTCTGTTTACTAAAAAAAATACATTTCCTGGGTTTGCATAATACAGTCAAACACACAAGATGCTCATTTAAAATTAAGCAAGCTCAGTATTTCAGGGAAATGAGGCTGCTAGTTTTGTAATGTATTTGTTAAGAATGGTGGGTGAACGCAACCAGAATCTGACTAAAAATGTTGTTTAAGATTTCAGTACAATTTTATGTATCTGTCACTGCTGCATATTCCTATAGGACTTTCCATAAAACGGAAACATTTATATAATACTGAAGCTTAGACTCAGACAATAAGAATTATTTTCACACTTATTACATCTACAAGTGGATTCATATTTGAATAATTGACTGGTGAGTTGCCAGATTTTGAGAATGGGGTAATTACATTCCTTAAACAAAAGTATAGCTATCCCCAGGTAAAAAAATATTCTTATCAACTCCTCAGCCTAATCATTTATGGAATGCATTGCTGCATTGCAAAATCATTGAGGTTTTTTTTTCTGCCATCTAGTGATTGTTTTGCAGAACTGTTTTATAAACCTAACTAAAATGTTTTTAACCTCAAAATGATCCGGTCTGCCTGTAAATATTGGTAATAATCAACAGAATTCAGCATCTATTTTCAGCCAGTAATGTTTATTGGAATGTTGGTGGATGATTTATAATTTCATCACCAATATTCAGTGTTAAACTAAACTGTTTGGAAAAAATTTCTTTCCACTTTAGCTTTTTTATAACAAAATCTTTGTGCACTGCTGAGAAATATGTATTTGAAAATTCACCACTTTTAATTTTCATATGTAAAGCTTGCCAAAAGCAAAAGCCATCAAGAATAAATGAATGAGTTTCTAATTTAGAGATCTTTTTTCATTTAAAAGTTAAATCTGAATGTCAAATTTCTCATATCAATACTAAACCTAGAAGTTGCTACATGTGTAAACATTAGTTCAAGAGCTATTGTTTATACAAGGAACCATGTTAAAATTGTCCTACAATCACCAGTTTGGAAGAAAATCCCATTTAACTTAAAAGGAACTAACTTTTGAGTAGATATTCACACTTGGTATAAGATTTAAACTGTATCCAAGAAATGACCTGGATCTTGGAAAACAGCAGCTCTTTATCAAGTTCTGTTCTCAACGTGTAGGCAGAGAGTGAGATGGAGGAAAGGTGGGGAAACCTATATTGCAATGTTAAGTATCTCATTTATCTATTTCACATAGAAGGTAAATGGAGGACAACACAGTTTGAGATTTTTCCACAGCAAACTCATAGCAAGCCTAGTTCTATTCAGAGTATCGTATCTCATAATGCACTTATTATGAGGTCAAATTCAGAAGATGGATCTGAACCATGTGTGAATGAAAAATATCTCAGCCAATGGAGAAAATAGAATATTTACTCACATTTCAGGCATTGTGGAAACAAATGTTGTGCCTACAAATCACAATAAAGCAATGTGTTACAAGGAATGAAACAATCCCAGCATTTAAAAATGAATGCAAACAATGATGCATAATATAAGCAGCCCCCGTTTATTCTTTGCTATATTTGTTTTATATTTCTTTATCCCAAGATTCCAAGAGGTTAGAAAAGTGAGGCTGAATAATAGTATTTCCCAGCAAGGATACCTTGATATGTTTTTCTCCCCAGGGAGAGGATGGCAACTCTAATGGAGTGGTAAATTCCAGCTAAAAATAATTCTTATGACAATGAACAGCAATGGGTTATTTTATTGTTATTCCTGGATAAAATCAAATATGTTTAAAATAAAAAAGATGATCCATAATACATTGAAGTGCAGTTATGTGAACCATTCTGTGTATGCATCTACAATATAATAACTGCAAATATTTCCATTCCCAACTTATGGATATTCTCTGTGTGGATTCACTTAGAAATAAAGCCACTGAATCTCATATATATAGACTTGGAAGTAGGTTATAACCAGTGGTGGGCTGCTGCATGGTTGCGCAGGTTTGGGTGAACCCTTAGTTGTGATCACCAGAGAACCGGATGTGAACGTAAGTGCAGCTCACCTCTTGGTTATAACTTCAGGCAATAGCTCTGAACACAAAGTGTAGAAAAGCCAAAGTGAATTCCATGGTTTTACTTCTGAGGAACAAGCACAGGACTGGACACAGGAAAATAAGTAGAGCTTAACTCTCAGATAGATCCCCCAATGATGAGACAGCTCCGAAGCCAAGTCCCACCCCTGTGATGAGAAGTGACAGAAGAATGGAAGGAAAAGAATCCCATGGCTACTTATTGCCACTGCTGCCTTACTCACAGGAGGAAACATAAGCAGGCTCTAAGAGTTGCTTCTGATCTCCTCAGTCCTCAAAGTATTTCTCCTTCTCTATCGACTTCTTGCTTTCAAACCTTGCCTTCAAGACCCTTCTGAACATCGTTTTTTTTGAGGGGGGGGGGAGGCAGTAGGCTTAACATCTTTGAACTGCAAAAATATCTTTGCTACCATCCAACAATAGCGAGCATTTCCCACATCTCCTGGCTAACTAGATTTTTGCCTCCTGGCTATGATCACTGTACCTCACACAATGAAATTTGTTAAAGGGGTGGGGCAAGGGGGTAGGGGATGAGCGACAAGGAGACCCCAAGTGTCTGCCTTCTCTGCCTGCCCTATCCTTATTGTACTATCTTCTCTGTTGCCAGTCTTGTGTTATGGCTACAGAAAGTACTGGGCAATATTAAAGCCCTCAAATGTAGAGACCTCGGACACTAGCCTCCAGACTCCTGGAGCCTGAATCCCCGAAGACTCCACAGTAATGATTGGGATATTTATCAAGAGATTTAAAAATAATACTTGTCTCAAACACAGTAAGATACTATTACATTGTAAAGTGCTTAGATGGCTTTTTTTCAAGCTCTGTACAGACATTTGTCATTTGAATAATTTGATAAATAGATCTCATCCTATGGTTTCTGCCTTCAAATCCTATCTCCAGCAAAGAGCCTTAAATCAAAGTTAAATAGTGTGATTTTCTTATATTTTCAATACAATTCATTCATATTAGCTTCAAATATTTCAGCATTTTCCAATAACAAATGTAAAAGCTGAAAACTATATCTATAATTCAAAATAGACGTTTTCATTTTTAACAGATGCAAATTTCTCAGTTGTATATAGATTATTTTGCAGGCCATCATTGGAAATTTCTTTTCTACGATGCTTATGTCAAGTATATGAAATCTAAAAAATGATTCTAAACAGAGTATTCTTATTCTTTAAAAGTAGGGTTTTTATTTTTTATGTGTGCTACCGAAAACATTCAGAAATTTGTCAGATCCTACAATATTTCTGCTTAGGTAAATTACCTTGGAGCTTAGTTTTCCTTAATCTGCTTGGGAAAATAGTACATTTGTTTGACCATCATTATGAAGTTAAGAAAATGCAAGAAACCTACAAAACACTGAGAAGACAACTCAGCACATAAGGCAAAGACAAGCAAAAATGGGTTCATAGTAATCTGATACAGAAAATAAGTCTTTGTAGCATTTCCCTGCTGAACAGCAACTGGAATTTTGTGTGGGAGAAAATGGATGTTTAGGCATGCCAATTCTCAAGGGGGCTTGCTTCATATATTTGTATTGTAATTATATATGATCTAATTATTCACATCTGCTCCCAAGGGCTTTTCATAAACACTTCTCTTGAGATCTAATGAATCACAGCTGAAACTGCCCCTAAGCTCCTCACTAATCTGTCTATTTTATGCATATCAGATATTAAATAATGATTAGAAAAAAAGCATCTCAGTTTCCCTGTGGCTGGCCTGGCAAATATAATTGTTTTATCATGCAAAAGAAGTCGCATGAGTAACTACCCCACTGAGATCCTGTTCAGCCAGCTGATCTTCTTATTTGGCCTGATCAAAATAAAGTAATGAAGTTATAATTATTTTTTCCTGATTGAACCTAAATCATCACAGTTCCTTTAGCACACGATTATATCGAGGCTAAGTCTTTGATCAAGCATCTTACCCTAGTGCAGTCCAGGCAGGAGAGAGATGATGGCTGGAGAATGGAAAGGCTCAGACTGTGAACGACAGACAAAAGGATGGGAGTAATAAATTGAAGCTTGACTACAACTGGTTAGTAAAAATAGAACTGAGACAAATACCCTTCTGGTATGCCTGCTTCCATACTGTGAAATGTCTACCCACAGACAACACACCCTTACTATCTAGTCCTTGTGAATTGCACACATGTGCACCTTGTCCACTACTTTTCCAATACTCTTGGAAGAATATACATCCAAGAAATGTGTGTGTGTGTGTGCAATTGAATGTTTTATATATATATATATATATATATATATATATATATATATATATATATATATATATATATATATACACACACATATACATATACATATACATATACATATACATATACATATACATATATATATATTCAGTTGGACGCATTCAATGAAGCTGTGGTGAAATTGCATACTTATTTCTATTCATGCCTCCAAGTCTTCTTATCAGAGCTAACATATTGTTACTGTTCTTGTTATTTTGGTTGAATTGGGAAGGGCTGGAAAATAAAGCCAAAAGCAGTGAAACAAAGCATCTAGCAAGCCAAGAACAGAATCACTTGATGCTGGCATGGATCCAGCTTGAATTTAGGTGGATTGTAACAGAACCAAAATCTGGTGATTCATTAGCATTTCAGACCTTGGAAAACAGTACTGGATAACACTATCATTCAGTGATTAAGTACGTGCTTTTAGAGGCCCGAGTTCTCAAATCCAGGTAGTTTCCAGCATCATCATCAAAGAAGAAGGGTCAAGCAGAAGATAATCCAGAAATACCCCAGCCATGGTGGATAGTGCAAGATTTAAAAGTCAAAGAGTTCTAGCTGTAATATTGCAGCTTCTTTTGTTCTGGTACAATATCAGCTGGTTCAGGAGCTGATCCTTGCCTTGCTTTTTCTTGGCCCAGTTTTTCTCTTTGAGCCATAACAGTAGATAGAACTTCAAATTACTTATGAGACTATTATGGAGAACGTAAGCAGCCCACACACTTCCTCATATTCAGCGGAACTAAAGAGAGAGTGGGGCCAGCCCAATGCGTGTGTGATTGAAGTCAAGGCCTATTAATGTTTTTTTCAATTAGGTAATGGGGCCAGAGCAATACGTGTCTGGTTGAGTTTAAGGTCTAATAATGTTTTTGAAATTAGGCAATAGGTAGCTTTGATGGTAATTTATCAATCAGCTCCTATTTTCTTTCACCCTTGTCATTCCCAGGCACAGAAAATAACTATGATTTAATATATACATACATACATGGCTATTCCTTCACCTATTGCACGTTTAACTAAAAAGTGTTTTGCAACTTAATAAAAGCATAATTGTTCCAAAGTGTAGGGTGCAAGGCATCCTCCTCCTGTAAGAAGTATATATGCATGTATGCATGCAGGCATGTATGTATTTGATCAAGTAGTTGAGGCACTGGCTGCCAAGAATAGATACAAGGCTCAGTGCAACAGTCCAGCATGATGTCCCTCAGGAAGAACCACAAATATTGAACATATATTCACACAAACCAGATTGAACTGGCTCATAACCCTACCAATTCATCCCCATCTAATAGCTCCACGTGTGGGTATTGTATGAATTAGGAAGACTCCCTGAAAATAATAAATCCATACAGCATGGCTTAGGTTGGAAGAGTTCAAAATTAAGAAGGAATGTTGTTTCCCCTCTGGACTGCCTTTCCTACATTTCAGCCAACGTAGCAGCTTAAACAAGGTGCTTGAGGGGGATAAAGTTAAATTTTAAAAAAGTAGAGTACAATGGCCAGTTAGATTTAGCTACCACAAAGAAAATGCCATGCAAGGACAGGGAAATAGAGGGCAACAACTTGCCTAATATTTGTACACTTTTATTCATATGCATCGACATAAATTTAAAAATAGTTAGGATAATTTTAAATGGAAATGTAGTACACCCCAATGATAGTGGGGAAGAAATTGGCCAGCTTTGAAACACAGAATATCTTCAAAGAAAGGGCTATAAAGGAGGACCTATGGCCATCACAGAGGAAAGATCTTACCAACTGAGAATGCTATTGTTGTCGTTGCAAAATTATCTCCAGATGGACATTTCACCAAGTGTCAGATTTGGACAGAATATGGGAGCACACATTGTGGCTGATCAGCCTGATCACATGTAAGGCAAATATATAGCCAGGACTGATAAAAGTGGACGAGAACTGTGATTAAAAAATTGCACAGAGACTAGGATAGTCAGAAATGGAGCGACCCATAATTTTATCTCAAATCTATAAAAAAACCAAGGAAACCCCCAGTAATGACTGAGGGAGATGGCCTTTGTTAACTATCCCCTCTCTTGTTTCTGAAATAAATGGATTTCACCACCCTTTCTGACACCTATGAGCTTTTCTTGCACCTGTTCATCCATATATTTTTAGAGAAGAAGTTATGAGAACACAATTCTATAGTCTGGCAAGGACAATGCCCGGCATTTTAATCCTTGCTGCTATTATGGTGCAGGCAGAGAATACAAGCAGGAGCTTCAGCTTTAATGACTGACAGAAGGAACAGGCATAGGGTTTCTCCTGCTCCACTACCAGGGTATGCATCCAAAAGATCAACAAGGCAAACCCTTTCTGTATTTATAACAATTTTAAAAGTCATCTATCCTGAAGAGCTCAGGGCAGTAAACATATTCTGCTCCTGATTTACATATCCTCAAAACAACTCTGTGTGTGTGTGTGTGTGTGTGTGTGTGTGTGTGTGTGTGTGTACGCGCGCATGCACACACACACGCACACACGCGCATGCGCACACACACACAAATGAGACAGAGATTCAGTTATTTGAGTCAGGGTTCCTAGTCTAGACAGGGGTGGCTCCTAGTCTCCAAAATTGAGCTGGGCAGATCTTCAAGGTAAGCTTTGCCTTAACAAGGGTTCAAACAAAGCATCCTCCTGAGGCTGATGTCTTAGGTCAAAAGCACAGAACAGCCATGTTGCATTACTTTGCTCTTTTTTGCTTCATTCCCCCTCTCCAAAACTAAATTCGGGAGAAGGCTAAAATAAGACGGTGAAGCGAGGTGAAGTACTTTTTCCAAGACAAATCAAATTACCTCTTCATTTGATAAGATTAATAACATCATCTTCACAGCACAATGCAAATTATACATTACCCTTGAGCAATCATCATTGTTCAATACACAGAATTGAGGTTAAGAAAACTTGCATTAGGTCCTGAATTGAAATCAGTGGAACTTCAGTTTACCCAATAACACAATTTTGTTCAATACTAATAGCAATAGGAATAGCACTTAATTTATATATCTTTTCATAGTGCTTTACAGCACTCTCTGAACAGTTTACAGCAGTGATCCCCAACCTTTTTTACACCGCGGCCCGGTATCCCCAACCTTTTTTATGGCGCGGCCCGGTACCGACATCAGCTGGGTGCCGCCATCTTGTTTTGATGAAAAAGTGCTTCCGGTGAGCTTTCTACCCGGAAAAGCTCACCGGAAGCACTTTTTCATCAAAACAAGATAGCGGCGCCCAGCAAGCCAGCGGCCCGGTAGGACTTGTTCCACGGACCGGTACCAGTCCGCGGACCGGTGGTTGGGGACCCCTGATTTACAGAGTCAATATATGGCCCCCAGCAATATGGATCCTCATTTTACAACCTTGGAAGGAGCAGTGGTGGGATTTAAATTTTTAAATTACCGGTTCTGTGGGCGTGGCTTGGTGGGCATGGCAGGGGAAGGATACTGTAAAATCTCCAGTCAGAGGTGGCAATTGCTGGTTCTCTGAAATACTCAAAATTTCTGCTACCGGTTCTCCAGAACTGGTCAGAACCTGCTGAAGACCACCTCTGAATGGAAGGCTGTGTCAATCTTGAGCGGGTCAAGATCAAACTCCTGCATTCTAGCCACTGTGCCCCCACAACTTAACATAACTCTTATCTGAGAAAAATATATTTGATTTGAAGACTAAATCCAGGAGATCTTTGGCTGGCTTTGGCTGGGTTTTCATTTGTGCCCTGTCTTGATGTAAGAAAACATAGTTATATTGATTTGTGCCCTCATTGTCACCTGACTGGATTGCAGTCATACACTTTACATGGGGCTGTTGAAGAATATTCCGAAACTATAACTGGCCTTTCTTTCTTACAGACTCCTGGTTGGGGATCATTTAAAAAAAAACACACACACACAATTGCTGCTGTAAGCCTTGTACCAGTTACCAAATAAGTATAATTTAAAGAGCTTGTATTGACCCATTAAACCCTTCATAACTTGGCTCCTGGGTATTCACAGGATTGCCTTCTTCTTTCTACCGGTATATTGACCACATATCAGATCTTACAGGGAATAGTCATTAATGATTCCACATCAGGCAAAGACCTGATGGAACAGCTTCTCTGTGGCAGTGTTATTGCTTTGAAATGGTATCCCATTGGAAAACAAACTCAGCCCATGACTCAGTACTGCCCTTTATTCCAGAAAGTATTTTCATGATCTGGCTAAATCAATGGCTTTCCCCACTTCTATTATTTCATTCTGTGTATGACTTATGTTGGTATTCTGTATAGTTGTTCAAACTGTCACTTCGCTGTATTCTTTTAAGCTACTGAGAATACAGCAGGGCATGAATCTAATAAATAAATATTTACTTGGGATTGCAATATTTTTAAATCCAACATAAGTAAACAACAGTAAGAGAGGGTGGGGGAGGAGCTTTCTCAAAAGAAAGTATGTCTTATTTACACTCTATCCTTTCCCAACCTGCTCTTCTCTGGAGATTGATAGTTACTGTGGAACGTATTAGGCAGGGGTCCCCAAACTTGGCAACATTAAAGCTATGCTGGCTGGAGAATTCTGGCAGTTGAAGTCCACAAGTCTTAAAGCTGCCAAATTTGGAGACCTCTGGTAGCAGGTGACCATCATGTTGGAGTTGCCACATTGTATTCCAAAAGATACTCTCTCTTTTAGCTTCAAAAAGAAATCATATTTCATATGATGAAAATAGTAAATATT